ATGATCTTTTCTTCCTTGATAATGAAGAAGACCATTGTCATCCATTCTAACAAGATCACCTGTTCGATAAAATAGTTGACCATCTATTTCAATAAGAGCTTTTGCAGTTAAATCATCACGTCCTAGATATCCGGCAAAGACACCCACACCTCCAACAAATAATTCTCCTTCTTGATCAATAAACACACTTTGTGAGAATTGATCTAAAACTAGATTTTGATAATTTGAAAGCGGTGTGCCTATTGGAACGTTTTCAGTCTCCATTGTGTTATTCAAAGGATGAACCATACAAGCAATTGTAGTTTCAGCAGGACCATACATATTCCATAGTCGACAAGTGTGCTTTACAGTATCTGACATTAAATTTATCAGTTTTATAGAACAATGCTCACCTAGAAATGAAATCAAATAATATCAAAAATAATACATTTCATATAAAAATCGCATACCACCACTACTAACTGATCGCAAGCACTGTGTAACATTATGATGATTGTGTTGTTGCAGAAAAGTGAAGAAATTATGGATTATAGTTGGAACAGTACTAACAGAACTAATATTCTTTTCTTTGAAAACACTAGCAAGATAGTCTAAGTCCATAATTCCTCTTGGATGTATCATAATTAGACTACCTCCAATCATAAAAGTGCCCATTATATCTTGGACATGAATATCAAAAGAACAACGTGCGATTTCAAGAATTGTATCCTTTTCACTCACTACATCACCATAAATTAACGAAGACATAAGTTCAGTAAAATTCTTATGTCGTACTTGAACCTAAAAGAAAGCACAAAAATCAGTCAGATACCAAAAAGATAAACTTCAACGAACTGCTTTTGGTTTTCCGGTCGAACCACTTGTGAAAATAATATAAGCTGGATTATTGAATGTCACTCTTCTACTTGATAGTTGATTAATATCAATATTTTTTTCCATATTATTAACAATCAATATTGAATCAATATCGAGAGAAACAATATTATAATCAAATTTAGTCTTAGTTAAATGATGAACAAGAACAAGACGAGCTTGCATTTGTTGTATGAGTGAATGCAAACGATGTTGTGGATCTCGAGGTGATAATGGACAATAAACATTACCAGCCGTTTGAATTGCCATTATACCAATCACCTAATCAAAATCAATCTCAAACTCACATTAAATATTACTCGTCTCAATCAACTTACCATTGACAAACTTCTCTCAACACATTGACACACGATCTCACCTGGAGTGATAGTATATTCATTAAGAAGAGTTAAAGATAAAACTTGAACATAATGCAATAGTTCACAATATGTCAATGATTGTTCATCGAGTTCAACAGCTAGTTTTTGTGGATGTTTCATTACTTGATATGCAAATTCATGATGAATACAAGTGAGAGGCGATGAATATGATATTCGTGTATTATTCAATGACTGCATTAGATACTGTTCATTTGATAATATTAATGATAATTCATAGATTGGTTTGTTTATTTGACTGTCGATAATAGATGTAGATAATTGATGTAAGGTGAAATGAAATCGTTGTGAAATCTTCTCTACTGTCTCTATATTGAACAAGTCAAGTGATGCATTGATTGTACAGGAGAGTTGATTCATGTCGAAATCATGCTGAATACTAAGAATGAAGTCAGATTTACTTATGATGTTGTCCTCATTAATCTTGATGGAAATAGGCATCATAGAGAGATGACTGTTACCTATAATCACGTCGTGGCTGAGATCTTGTCGTGAATATCGTATGAACTTGAATAATGTATCAAGAAATGCAGGATTCGAAGCATGTAGATGTTGATTTAGGTGACGTTGAACAGGATAATAAGAGTATTTACGACTGTTTGTTAGTATCTCTTGAACATGTTTAACAAGTTCATGTAGTAACCATTCTGGATTTAGTTGACATCGCAAAGGAATAGCGTTGAAAAACATACCAATCACTGATTTAAGTTCATTTCTGTATCGACCATCTACGTTCATTCCAATGCATAGATCTGTGTCTCCATTCGTTAGTTTAAATAGAAAGATAAAATACATAGACAGCGCCAGATGTTCAAGTGAGATGTTGTGTGAAGATGTGTAGTGAAGAAAAATGTCACAAAGATCTTGATCGAAGTCGAATGAAATTGATGTGCTAAAACCAGATCGGTATTCATTCGTAAGTCGATATCGATCATATGGCAACGAGAGAGACTGATCTAGTTTGCAATCATGCAGAGCATTATGCCAAAACATGCTTGCACCAATCATGGGCATGTGTTGTTCAATGACAGCATCTAAAGAAGAGATAAAGATATGATATGATTATGAAGAGAGAAGTATGAATATTTACAGTCGAGATAGCGAAGTCTGTTGATGCTGTCATCATTGGGTAGTTGACTTGTGGTGTATGCTTGATGAAGATCATGAAGAAATATCTTCATCGATGGATAGTCGAACGAGGCATGATGAAAGTTGAAGATGATGATATCATTATCGGAGATAAGATCATTGGTAGAAACTTGTTTATAACGAACAATATGACATCGGAAGACAAGACCCTGAGCAAGATCGAAAACATGACGATTATGTGTCTCATTGTGCATAATTTCATCCAATTGTTCATCTGTTTCATAAATGCTTTCGACTATAGAAAACCGATTGTTTTTATAATTCTGTTGGTCAACAATTCGTTGTGTAAGAATGTTTTTTGTAGTTTCAAAAATAAGTGCCGTTCTCAGAGATTGATGTTTATCAACAACAAGATGGAGTGCGTAACGAAACTGTTGAACAGACAAGGTATGATCAGCTGAAAGACGATAGCAGAATACCATATTGTACGTTGCCAATTGTGGTCCGTCCAAATTCAAACGGCGTTCTTCATCAAGCCATATTTGATGTTGAGCATATGAAGCTGGCTCTATGATAGTCACATAGTATTCCTACACACTAATTAGGTTTATTCTCATAGTTAAATACTCGAATCTCTCGCAAATAGCTGAAGTTATACATTTTTATGTTCGAAGGGGTTTAGAATATCTCTACAAGTTACGCATCATGTAAGAGCTTTAATTCATGCAGATGTGTAAAGAGGAATTAGAAACGAGTTTTCTTCGAAGCACTTACTTATTTCAGAGAAATGTCGTAATGATTCGATGACGTTTGATAAAGTTTCAACGTTCATTGGTAAAATAGAAAGATTTCCAATTTTTTCAAAACTTGGGTCGAAACCAATGATTTTCGTATTTTCAGTAAAGATATGTAAAAGTAAATTCTGAAAATATCGACCAATGTTGGTCACCGTGACTTCATCATAACAATCAGCACTACATTCCAAAATACAATAAGTTGTTTGGCTGAGCTGATTGTGAATCATTTTTAAATTCATATCATGAGAAGCAATACCATTGCCATGTAACCAAGGTTGTTCAGTATATAAACTTAATGTCACATCATTTGTCTTGGCTATCGATTTCATTTCACTAGTTGAAGCAGAGTAAATTTCTTCATATTGAAAATGAAATGGAATCTTGCTTGAGCATAACTCCCTATTACCCCTGATGATCTGTTGATAAGGCACTTGAGAGTGATTAAGAATGTCCATGTCCAACTGACAAATGCGCTGCACCAAATTAATAAAACTTTCATTTGCATTAATTTTGATACGATATGGTAATAAATTCACAAACGCACCAATCATGCATTTTATATCAACGAATGTTCGATTTTCTGTAGGACAAGTCACACACAAGTCACTAATAGTACCATCATTGAGTTCATATATAAATAGAAAGAAGCACGCTAATGCTGTATGAAACATAGACAAATTATGCAACGATGCAAATTCCATTTGAGCTTTGACAAGTACCGAATCCAGTATAAACGATGTACTATGCCCTTCTCCAGAACGCTTTTTTGTGTCGAATGGGCGTGTAAATAGTGTCGGATAGTTTGCATCAAGACTGTAGTCATCCATCATTTTTGACCAAAACTGCTGAGCTCTTCGTATTTGAGAGTCTTCCGGGATATTAACGAATTGCTGATGCTCATATAGACTAAAACTGATATATTGTAACCTTTCAACATCCAGTTCCATCTGATCGTATGCTTTTGTAAAAGCAACAAGAAACGGACTAATAGAATTATAATCAAATGCTACACCATGAAATATAAAAATAACCAAATCTTGAGGACATAATTTGTCTATGTCATCATCAGATCCCACCTTAACTAGATGAACACGAACAACTAAACCCTGTTCTAATTCAGCAAAATGCTTGACCGATTCGTTCCTAAGTAGATCAGCAACTTCACCAGGACTTTGTATATCGTTTGCTGTTATTTCAAAGGAATAAGCATCATTGTTGTTCACAGATTGCACTGCTTGGACCAACATATTACGATTTTTATCGAAGTAAATTGCTGTTCGAAGTATTTCATGCTGTTCAAGAACAGCAACAACGGCCGAACGAATGCGCTCAATTGACATTGAGCCATGTCTAATCACTAAAGGCAGAACAAAATTATGCATAGCAGGTGATACTGATGGGTCGTAATGGATCTTTTCATCGAGCCATATCCGTTCTTGTGCGAAAGATGCAGCACCTTGCAGACATCCAGAAGTAGGAATAGTTGATGATGCTGGTGAAGGCATCATTTCTTGCTCTTGAATCTTTTGTAATAAAGCCATTTCCATTATTATTGATATTTTTTTTTCGAATTTGTTAAGTAACAAAAGCCTAATAAACAAGTACTGTGAGAAATAGAATTATCTGAAAAGAAACAACAATTAATAAGATATGTGAGCCTGCAAATGGATGATGATGAGAATAAAGCAAACTAAAAAATTAGAACTGTATGATATTCTGTTATGAAATTACATAAAAGATAAAATTAATATGAATGTTTTACATCACCCTTGTTGTGACGATCGTCGTTACTTTATCAGATGAAAACCTTCGTAGTCATCGACGGCGATTTTTTCGCACTTTTTCATATAAATATCAGAGCCTCCTACATAAGGTATAAAGACTCGTGGTTTTCCAGGAATATTTGTCCCGTTGTAGACTGACTTGGATGTTCGACAACATCATTTACATGTTTAACCCAGGTATTCTCTTCTTCTAGAGAAGGTTCTATTATATTGATATCATGCGTTCGTAGATATTCCAAACATTTTGTTATCCATTTAACATGTTGTCCGATATATGGAGCCATATTAGCTAAGTCAGACGGAGCACCGGGGCCACTAATTGTAAATAAGTTTGGACAGTCAGCGATCATCAGACCTAGATAAGTACGCCATCCTTTTTTCCATTTTCCTCGAAGTGTCTTGCCTGATCGACCGTAGATGTCTATACTGAGCAATGCACCAGTGCAGACATCGAATCCAAGTGCAAGAACGATGTCATCTACTTTATATGTCTTGTTCCCAACTCGAACTCCTATTGTCTGAATTTCATCGATGCTTCTATACCGAAGATCGACAAGTGTGATATTATCGCGATTAAATGTTTCATAATAATCAGTACCACTACAGGGACGTCTGATACCAAAAAGATAATTATATGGTAACAAGAGTCTGGTAGTAGTAGGATCGTTGACAGTTGCGCGTATCTTAGACTTAATAAAATTTGATACTGTTTCATTGGCTTCTTTGTTGATATGGAGATCAGTGAAAGGTAGTGTAAATGCATTTCCACCTTTCTTCCATGCCGACTCATATACTTCGTCGCTTTCTTTTGGTGTTACACTCAATGCAGGATAGTTTCGAGTGTCATCAACCAAAAGGGCACCAGTTGTTTGCATCATATCGTGTCGAACATGGGCATAATTTGCCTTCCATCTTTCTTTCTCTTTCGGATCAAGCGAACCATTGTTCGACGGAATACAATAGTTGAGTGTTCGCTGGGATACATAAACCATCTTGAGGGTGTGGGTGGATGCGAGAGTGCGTAAATAAAATACTGACACCCTATAAATACTAGTTGGAATAGTTGTGGACCAGGTATTGTAAGTTGGGCAGGTAAAAAGTAGTGTTGTTAATTTTTGTTGAACACTATCCATCTCAATATGACTATGAGCATGTAGAGTGAATTCACGTAATGAATATTGATAAAGAGTTTCTGGATCGGTAAAAGAATCGAGAACATCAATACGTACCATTCCTGATGAACGCATACAATCTGAACTAGCTGATGTCCATGGTCGACTGTAGACAAACCATCCACGAACTGTTACGACAATTTGTGTGAACACTTCTGTTAGCTCATGCTCACTAAGACCGAGAGCTTTGACAAATTTAATTTGTTTCAAAGCAATTGAAGATTGCTTGTTATCTGATGATAGAAATAATTGGTGATAGGCAGCTGTTACAGGTTCAAGATAAGCAGCAGCAGCAGGAAAGAGAATTGTATCTTCAATTTTGTGATCTATTAAGTAAGCATATTGTGGTAGATTAATATTGATGAGGCTCTTCCATGTAGCACTTGTTTGTCCTGTTAATTGACGAACACCAAGTAGAGGATGAATAGGAATACGATTAGCCAAACGTGTCATAACTGAATTTTTTGATTCATACCAACATGAACTAAGATCAAATGCATACAATGGAAAATCATCAAATAGTTGCTCATTATCTACTATCGGTATTATATCTCGAGTATGAAAATATTGTTCCCAAACATAGGGCGATGTCGTTAATTGTGCGAGGCTAGTAAGTAATGTTATTTGTTCATTTTCTTTTCGTTTCAATGTTGGAAGAATAAGTGGTTGACTATTTGCCGATTCATAACATTCTCGAATAGATGTAGCCAAAACTGGATGTGGTGAAAGTTCAAGAAAAACAGTTGGAGCATCGTGTCGTTGAATTGATGTCATAGCATCACGAAATCGTACACATAGTCTCACATTTGTCAGTTAATTTATTACCAGTTACACTCGAATAAAGATTAACTTTAGCACATATTGGATCAAAAATTTGTTTTTGATTTTGTATTGGAAGTCCTTGAATATCTTTCAATGATGAAAGCATTTCTTTTTCAATATCAAATCGATTCATTTGATATGAATGAAATGCATTTTCAATACGAAGACGTGCTTTAAATACATCAAGATAAGCTATCGAAAGAATTTGTTATATTTCATCGATTGTTTTTTCATCACCACTTATTATTACTAGACGAGGACTATTAACAACAGCAATACAAGCCAAATGTTCAATATCTTCAAGAAGTCTATTTTCTACTTCTTATTCACTCATTGAAACAGCTAACATACGACCACCTTGTCGTGTATTACGATTTTAAAGACGTGATCGATGATAAACAATACGAACAGCTTCTTGCAAAGTGAGACGACCGGCAACAAAAGCAGCTGCCTGATCTCCAGCACTATGTGAGACGATTGTTGAAGGATAAATATTCCATGAGACAAGTAAAGCAGCGAGTGCGACTTGAATAGCGAATAAAGCGGATTGAGCAATATTTGTATCATTAATACGAGATTCGTGTTCACTTCTTTTGCCAACTAATTTTTCCAACAGACACCATTCACCATTGTTGATCTTTGCCAGTTCAGCATCTATCAATTGAATCCATCGAGTAAAAACAGGTTCACTTTCATACAATTGTCGACTCATAGCCCAATTTTTGTACGAAGATTTAAATGATCTTTTGTTTTATTTTCTTGTTCTTATTGAATAGGATAATTTCCATAACAACGTATTACAGGAAAATCAATTCGTACATGATTATCTGAACAAACTGTTGGAGATTGTTGATGATCATGATTATTATTATTTAAAAAATATAAAACATGTTCATGTATAACAATTGTATAACGTGATTTCATTCCACTAATATTAGGAACAGCTATCTTACATTGAGCTTTTAATATTGAAAGAATTGTTATAAAAAATATCATTTTCTGACAATGTGCTATTACATGAACTTCAAATATAGGTCGTTTTGATGATGTTGATATATTTTGTTGAGTTTCTAATGGATGTAAATTAATATTACGAATAATTGGATCTTTATGACGTGTATCTAAACATTTTTTTGTTGTTTGTTCCAGTGAAATTAGTATATGAAGTTCTTCAATAGTGTAATTTAAACTTGTATTAATTAATTCATTATCTGTATTAGTTGTTGTTTGTATTAAAGATGCTTGTTGTTTATCATTGGGAAGAAATTGTTGAACATAAAATGTTGTTAAACGACCAGTACGATTAACAAGATCATGAACATCGTGTGATCTTAATGGTACATCCATTACAATTGTACGAATATTTGTAACACCATTTAATATTAAATAAACACCACATGATTGAAGAGATGTTGATGCTAGAGATTTGGCAACAATTATATCAAGAACAGATATTTGTCGATGGAAGATTATCGGTAGACGTTGAAAGAGTTTCTTTTAAAGAAAGTGACGTTGAACCAATTTGAAGAATTAATGAACCATCATATCTAAATATTAATTTAATTAAGTGTGTAAAATTAATTTTCATCTTACGCTCTTGTATTTTGATTACTTGTTGTTGAATATAAAGCTCGAAGTCTTTGTGATAAATTACCATTTCCTTAAATTTTTCTCATATAACCATCAACTTTTAAACTACCTAAAGAAGCTGCACAGTGTATTTTATCAATAATTAACTAGCCAAATGATGAAAATAAAAGTATTTTATTTGTTACATTTATTGCCATATGACGTGTTGGATTTTGTTGTTGTAGTACATGTTCATTGGGTGGTTGTGAACCACTTCGTTGTTGTTTTCGTATTGTTATTAATGATTGAATTGGTTTTATTTCTGGTACAATTCGATAATTAGAAACAGATTCATGTAGTTTCTTCTAACACTGTCGTTCAGAATTATCTAAATCATTATTATCAAGATGAAGAATATTCGATTCAGGTAATTTTAAAACAAGAGTTTGAATATCATTTTCAGGTGTAAGAACAGCAGCAGGTGAAAGAAGATATTTTGTTTTTTTAGTTAATAATTCATAGTTTACTTTGTGATAAGGTTAACATAGGTTTTGTTTCAACAAGAAGATAAGCTTGAATAGCATCAAGACGTTTTTCACGTTTACGAAGAAATTTTCTACTGATTTTTATATACCATTAATAACACAAAAGCAATCATGAACCGTTGGTAATAATGTTGAAAGAATATTTTAATCATAACGTGTATATGAAAAAAGTTTTTTAGGTGCTGTAGTAGTTTGTTTTGCACTAGTTGTACGTGTACGTGGTCGTTTGGAAAAATTCGATGTTGAATGTGTATGATGTTAAGATTCAGGAAATGATATCTAAACATGATCAATTGAACCATTAAATATACTACTTGATGATGGACTAGATAATATTGGAACAATTGAAGAATTAGTTGTAGTACTAGCCGGTGGAATGTTTATAGGTAAATTTATTGTTGATGGAGATGCTAATAATGGCTAAAGATATAAAAAAAATAAAATATGTCTGTTTTGATCACACATCATGGTATGATCACTATCTTATCTTCTACCTTTTTTCAGTTTTGTGAGTTTTATTACGAAGTTCTAATATATCAAAATATGCTGAACAATTCAGATCAGAAATATTATCTCGTCTGTTTAACAGACAAGCTCACGTGACTTTACTACAAAAACAATATATCTGTTTAGTTTCTTTCAGGCGATGCGTGAGTGGGAAATTCAGTTATGTAATACTCTGATAATTTCTTTTAACTTACATAAGTTGATTATTTTCTTTTTGATTTGTGTTTTATCAATTTCTGTCATTATTGGTAAAATATATATTCGTTGTTGTTGTTGTTGTTTGGTTGTATTATTAATTAATTCAAAACATAAACGTTGTAAACCAAATTTATTCATAGCAAATCCGACATTTGTTTTATTATTATCAAATGATACATGTGTTTGTATATGATTTGGTAAACGAAATTGTAATCGACAACGTTGTGATTGTATAGCATGAGTATTAATATTTTCAATGGAAGAAAAATCATTTTCAAATCGACGAAATTGTCCTGTTATTGATTAATTTTTAAAAATACCAGCTGTTGAGTGATCATGATTAGATAAAATTGTTTCCATTTATTATTGGACGATGATCAATATGATCTTACTGAATATTTGGTGGGAATGTAGCGTTATTTGACCATGTTGAAGAAAGATAATGAGATAAATCATGAATAAGTTGTACATAAAAGAATCGATTTTGGTATAAGCATTTTCATTTGATTACTTAAACTTATCCATGAAGAACTAAGAAGAGATGGTTGTGGTACAGTATTATATTCCATGTTTGATGAAGTTCCCTAAAAGATAGAAACATTTCTATTATATCTCATCTTTAAACAAGTCATTCAATTCTTATTATTCGAAAAATCTGAATATACTTTTTTAATGTATTTAACTATGTATAATATGAATCGAAGAAATCGAGATATTTCATTTTCGAAAGGCTTAAAATCGAAATCAATCAGTCTGGTTTGTTTTCTATATGAAATAAGTTAGTTAGTATATAAAATAGTAGAAAAAATAATCGATGCCGATTTTTATAGTTACAATTATCTCACTAAACAAAATAAATCTAATATCTCAGAACAAAAAAAACTGATTGATTTTTCTTTCAAATGATATACATACTTTTTGAGGTTGAAAAGTTGTACTATTTCTTGTTTCTTGTCTTCGTAGTATTTCTTCTAAAGCTGTTAATGAATCAATTGATGAATTTGTTGATAGATTTTGTTTATTACCAATTGATGTTAAAAATATATTTAAATCTGAATGTATTGGTGATGATAAAGTTGATGATTGTTGTTGCATCATAGTTAATGATGATATTAATAGTGATTCCATAATATTATTTGTATTATTATTTAAAGTTGAGTTTGAACTTGTTTGACTTGCACTTGTTAACGATAAATGTTCATTGAATGCTAAATAATCATCACTTCCTAATGTTTGAGGTGATGTTGATGAAACGATATTTATATTATTTAATAGTATTGATGATGATGATGAACGTTTATGTTCATTTCATTCAATAACTGATTTATGTTTTAAATTTCTTAATAAATTAGCACGTCATAATGAATATAAATTTGTAGGTGCACTACGTTGTAACGAATCATCATTTATATTTTGATGTTGTTCATTAGATTGTTTTTGTTGTCCACAAAAATCAAATGGATAGAAAAAAATTTCATTATCTAATTCATCGTGAAATTGATTAACATGTTCAAATATAAAATGTGAATGTAAAACATGTAAAATTAGGATGAAATAATGAACGAACAAATAATGATTGTTTACTAAGACGAAATGTACTTTTAAAAAATTGTTCACCTTGTACAAGTGTATAATAATTTGTTGAACCACCAAGACATGCACATGATAATATATTAGAATTTGTTGCTAAACCAACATAAGATGGACGTTTTAAATTTGTTGATATTGTTGGAATATTTAATGTTTGTTGAGATTTAAGATTATAAAGAAAATGAAGTCGCTCAGAATGTTGATCATGTCGATGAAGAAATTCTAAATGTTCATTAATAGTAGCAGGTGTTGGTGGATGACATTCAAATTTTTCATTAATACGTAATTCAGGAACACTTATTGAACCAGCTTCTAACCATGAGCCAGGATAAAGACGTAATAATTGTCGAATTTGTATTATACCAACGTTTAAAGTTAAACTTTCATTACATAATGATATATGTATACTACACCTACATAAACGAATAGGTGCTATCTAAAACAAGAAAATTATGAAAGATGAAGAAATAAATAGAATATTTCTTAGTTGAATATTAATAGTATTTCCAACTTCAATGAGATTAAGATCAATTGAATCTAAACTAAATCTAAGTACATCTCATTTAAGTTTTTCAATTCATTTTGCTTTATCAATATATGGTGAACGAGCAAAGGTATATTCATCTTCTATTATTTGTAAATAAATTGTTTTAGCAAAACCTAAGATTTTTTGTAACCAAAAAAATAGAATGGTATTATTTACAAAAAAAAAGATTTTTTCTTTTTGATTTCTTACTTGAATTGTTGTTAAACGAGCTGAGATTTTATCAAGTATAATTTGCATTTACCAAGCATATTCAAGTGTTTCACGTTCAGGTGGTAAACCTTCATGTGAAAGCATTGCATGACCACGGATAACTGAACTAGATAATTGAAGACATCTAGTAGATAAATGTTAATCTGTTTTATTTCGCTAGATGAAAAGAAAAAGAATTGTTAGAGTTATTCAGAGATCGATAAATATATCATTCATATTTATTGATTTAATTAGTAAGATCAAGATAGAAATCAGAAATAATAGCTTAGGATGTTGAAATTTGATGATCTCACTTAAATGACTTGGTCTTTAGACAATTTTAATAACTAAGTAAATTTGAAAAACATACCGTGATGAGATAAACACTTGAATATCATTGTTTGGACTTATCAGTTTGTTAGTAGATGAGTAATCAAAAGTTTTTGAGATTATAAGTATTTTTCTCAAATAATCTTATTCAAAAATGCTTAAAACGAAAGTATTACTAACTACTACCCAGTGAAGCTATTTAGTTTTCTGACATTTATCAATAGATAAGCTGGTTTGATCGGTTCAGATAAAAGTTATATTTCTGCTTTGAAGCATGCAACGAATGTTTAAAAATTCCAATCAATTTTTAAATATACTTACAACAATCGAATCTTCGACATAAACATTAATTGGTAGAAAAAATACTTGTAATCTTGTTTCATCAAGATCAATTGTCATTTCAAAGCAAAGTCGTTCACAAAAAGTTATTGGACATGGTTCATCATCCGTATGCTAAAACAAAAGATTTTATTAAAAGAACCAAATAATTATTTTCATTTACGATTTTTATGTCAGATGAAACAGAATATCTAGATGAATCTAATGGAAAATAAATAAATCAAATTATTAAATACATTAATAATTTCTTTTGAATGGATGTCTAGACTTTTACAAATGCAAAAATTTTCTAATTGACCATTAACTAATTAAAAAATAAAATTCTCTACCTTATTTTATTAGATTTGTTAAATTGAAGATTCATGTTAAATATTAATGTATTTTGTTGAACATTAAAATGACTGTTAATAATACTTGAACTTGTTTTTTTCTAACATCATGTAATAATAAATGTTGAATTTGATAATAAATTACAATTTATTTCAATCAACTAAATTATTAAATAAACAAATTTAGAGTTTTCATCTTAACTTATATAATTATTGTAACAATCTATTTTTCCATAAACATTTGTATTTTCTTGTAAATCTTAATTTTTAGAAATACATTTTGATGATCTGATGTTCCATTCCAATTTGTTCTTCTTGTTGAGTTTTATCAATTTTTAAAGTTTGATAAAAAAATATTTTTATTAAAAGCTTGATCCATAAATGCATAATTATTAATTTCACTAGAATCATTTTGTGAATTTAACGGACGATTAATCGATAGTACAAATGATAAATATCCTAACAAAATTATTTTATTCATTAAGTCATTTTTATCATTTGAAATAAAACAACTCGCTGAAAAGTTATCAAATGTAATTTCATGTTGTTTAATAGATGAACAATTTCTGTTGTCATTTGAATCTGTATTCATTTGTAATTTTGCCAAATCAATTAAAATAAGTATTTGTGGAGCATTTAATGTAAAATTCGTTTTAGATTTAATTGAATGTTCATCAGATTTTTGTAGAATCGATGAAAGAAAACTTGATTTATTACAAGATGTATCTTTGTCTTTTCGTTATTATTGATTTGTTTGAAATGAATTAATTAATGATGATAATATAAGTTGAAAATATTTCTAAAGGGAAAAAGAAAATTTTATTTTTGAATTTGACCTTGAATAAATGAATATTGTTCTTCAGTTTTCCTTTCATAATTGAATGAAGATAAATTAAATGCAATTCAATCATTTAATTTATTTTCTTCTAAAATAATATATTCATAACGAGATTTTATATAAAAATCAATAAGATCGTGAGGGTGAGTGAATGAGTAGGATAGATATGATACACCCTTCTATTGAACCATTTGATTCAATTACTTAAAATAAAATATGTAAAAATTCTTCTGTATAATACGTTAAATCTAATAATGCATATAATAAAACAAAATATCAATCTAAAATAAATAAATAAATAATTTAATATAAAATTTTACTTTCAAAACAATAAAATTGAATTTAAGTTATGTTATTTGTTGTCTAGATCAGTTGTAATATCAATTTGTTTTTCAATATTTTGCTTTCTTGAAGAGTTTTGTTGAATAGGTATCATTTTTTTAATTGATTCATATTGTTCTTTCGCATTTGTTTAATGTTTTTAATCATTTAATTTTGATTTCTATTAGTTTACAAGAATAATATAAAAAAAAAAGAAGAAACTTGATTTTGTTTTTGTTGTTTTTAATCAAATATTTTTGGATATAGAATTGTTTTCATTAATTTTAATAGACCAAATAAATGTGTATCAAACATTCGACATTTAATCAGTGAAATATTTCCATTTGCTTTTCAACTTAAAATAAATAAATAAATAATAATAATAATTTCTTATTTTCTTTTCCACACTAAATACAAGGATCTCATAATATTCTGAAGCATCTGGATATATGCTCAATTTCATAAACATTTATAGAAAAAACGCTTCTTGGTTACTTTGAATATTAATATCTTACTTCTAAGTATGAAACAGAAGAAATGTGAATTTTCTTACTTTTTACTCAAACTTAAATACACGACTCCAGTCATATTATACAGTAATCGATATATTTGTCACCTAATTCTCCATTTTAGCAAACCCACATTTTGATCACAATACACTTTTGTTTTACCTTGAAATACGAAAAAGGTAAATGCATATTTTTTTCGTTCATACTAGATAAACGATTTTCGTCATATTTTTAAATAGTTGGATACATATCTTATTACGTCGACGTTTATATTATGCGTAGAAACAAACTTTTACTGTTGCTCAACACGTAATTAGATTAAAAATAAAGAAAATTGAGAGTGTGGGTAGACATTGATGTACAACCTCCTCGCAACGTGACTCATCCTTGAATATGTCGATATCCTTATGAATTATTTGTATTATCATGTTTTTTCTTTATTTCTGGCTATATTTTTAAGTCAATTGATGGATTTCGTATAAAATTATCTTATTTTGTATATAAAACAAATGAACTAATATATCACTATATGTTCTCTATCGATTTTTATATACAAACATTTGTTATATGTTGAAAATATATTTATCAATTAATTTATTGACAACTTATTGGAACATAAATTTCTTGGACTATTTAATATTTCAAATTCTAAAACCATTCTTTGGAGATATTTTTACTATTTTCAATGTTAGCTGGTGTGTATCAGATTTATGAATGATACTCATTATTTTTCAACTTATCTACATTAATAAATAGAATAATAAAATAGTTGATATTATATATCTGATCTATTTTTTATTGATTAAATCTACTAGTATTCGTTGGTGATATGCATCGTCTCATTCCAAGAATCAATCAGTATCGTCACAAACTTTTCTCTTCTTCAACAAAATACATTTAAGTTTATTTTTATTTGAATATCATTTGGTTTATTATTTTATTTTTGTGGAACGATCTATCATGTACATAATGAAAAATATCAACAGTTACTATTTACAGAAAGAAACTTTTTAATGCTAAAGTTAAATTTACATCAACTCGGATACTTATTTTAGAATCGATTATTAGTATTTATATTTACATATTTATTGCAAAATCTATTAATAAGAATTGTATTTTACTTCTAAGTAGCCATGAAACATATCATATTATGTATTTATATTTTATTCTAAATATTATAACAATTATAATATTTGCCGATAGATAGTTTGGAGTTTTGGAAAGCCAATGCAAGCTATGAACACAATTCAGAAATGAATTGAACTCTTTTCATTAGTTGGAACACATTAACTTCAACTTTCTTCAACTATCTACATTTGTCAATTATTACAAAAAAGACTAAAGTAACTTCAAATGAATTGAAACTGTAAACTTACATGCCTTGCGCATCTTTTGTACATTAGAATAGAAAATATATAATATTGAAGAGTTTTTTCTAATCACAATTTTTTTTCGGTTATTTAACTAGAAGAAAACAATTTGAACTTATCTATTTTTGTGTTCTATGTTCTTTACATTGTACTTTTTTTTGATAATCTTCTATTTTTTACTTATTATATTCTTTTCATTAATTCAATTCTTATCTTAATAAAATCATAGTCAAATTTAATAGACTAACTCGTTTTTGATTTATAACACTTTAAATTTTCGTTAAAGTGTTAGTTGAAATCATTATTGTTTACTTTTAATCTAAGAAACTGTAGATCTTTGTCACAAAGGTGACACTTTTGAAATAGTAGTCACTTTGAGACTAACTGAGGAATAAAAGTCTACATATACGTCAAATAATTCACATCACAAAATCAATATTTATGAATTAAATTTGAACTATTTTATTGTCATGTGTACTCATGTGAGATATTAGTATATTACTGTTCACGTATCGTGCCAGAATATTTTAACAATTATATCTGGATATTTCTGATTTTCAAGATGATAATTACTCTATTTTCGAATTGTTGTTATATTATTATTCTGACATTATTGAGATATTCAGAAATGTGTCATTACAGTATGATGATGTTTCTTCAGTATCTATAACTGGTAGACAAAAAAACAAAAATAAGGAATTTAAATTAAATTATATATACAAAGTTGCTGATGAAATGCTATTAGTATCAAATTGTTACTAATCTCAGAAAAGTATGAACCATAATAATAGTAAAATATAGATTTAGACCTTGTTGTTAATATATGACAAGCAAGAAGATTTATTCTGCGTACTTATTTAGATATAAAAAGCGATGAATATGACTGACAACCAATGGATTCAATAAGTGTTGATTAAAATTGAATGTGAAAGTATTTTTTACTCACTTATACTATAATTTTCAGCTTTCTTATTTCTGTTGCCCTAATCTTGTATCTTTTGTGTTTCTAATTCAACTTCCTATCTTAACATTATCCATTTTCTCAAAGAATTAAATTCGATAATGAGATTGTAAGCACTATATCTAGTTTATTTGAAAGAGAACGACAGAAGAGAAGAACAAGGAGAAAAGAAAATGATATATTTCATCAACGTATGGCTTATATATATATATGTACATGGTCATGTGATCATATCATATACAAATATATCGAAAAAGACTAATAAAAAATATCACACCATATATGAAAGATGATAGAACAATCGAGGATGACCTCGATAATAGAGATCCTGTTTATTAGGAGGCTCGGAGACGGATTTACATTGAAATCTCTAGTATTAAAAGTCTACAGTCAGATTCGGTAGAATCCAATAGTAGAGTAAAATTGGATCTCCATATTATAATATAGTAGCGATTAGATTGATATTAAATAAATGAGGAACAATTATGATTTTATTATTAAATCTATTAATAGTCCTGTTTGCCGATTTTTTATAAGTTTCTGTTAAATATTGGATCTTATTAGATATAGTGTAGGAGTGATTGACAAAAAGGTAATTAAGGTATCGATCATAATATATGACAGAAGGATAAATTTCTTTTTATTCTTTGTCCTATCCTTATATTCTCGAGTTATAATAACAGAAGAATTGAAAAGAAATGCTCACTGTTCAAGAAAAAGAAGTGTTCGTAGTTAGAAAAGTGACCAGTAGTAAACTTCTATTTGATACGAATTACTGAAAAATAAATCTACACTGTAATATTATCATGACAAAAATGATTATTATAAAGAATATAGAAGAACAACTAGCTGACCATGAAGTTATTAATGTCGTAATCGTCGCATTTGTTATTATACTCAATGTGTTTTCCAGTTCGATCATCTTAAAACTGAATATTTACATTTTTTAAATGAGAATAATCAAAGTATTTTATTCTAAAAATCACCAAATAAAAAGAATTTGATTCTCTCGAAATGTTTAAATAGTTATTTAAGAAATACGATAAAATTAAAATAATCAAATTCTTCTTTATCTTATTTTCTATTAATATCAATTTCAAATGAAATGTTTTCTTTATCAGAATAAACTTAACTCTATTCTTCGTTTCTCAAATATCACAATAGAAATATTTTATTTTTCAGTCTTTAATCGTAATTGTAAGATAAGTTTAAGAGATGGTTTGCTACGTAAAAGTCGTTTTATTTAGATATTTGAAAATAATCTATAAGACACATTTTTTTCTACGTGGTTGCGTTTTGTTATTTTGTTCGTAACGAGAAAAAGTTATTTCTAGAACTTACAGTTATCATTTTTTCTTGTTCTATCAAACAACCATTTATAAGGTCACTCTTTTTACGTTTATATTTTAATGTTATCGTTGATTGCTCTTACTAAAAATCACATGTGGTTAAGAAAACCAATGAACGAAGACGGATAGATAAGTCATGAAAAGAAAAGAGAAAAATAACTCTTTTTTTATCGATTTTATTTATGGAAGAAAAATTAACTCAATTTTTAAACACAATCAAAATCTTTATTTATTTATTTTTCAATATAGAATTAATCATCTTAGATTTTTTAACTATTTCGATTTCTAATGACTTGTTCAGTGACATTACTCTTCTTTATGATCAAAATCATCTGCAATTCAGCGATCTATTACAAATGGTCGGTAATTTTATAACTTCATTTGAATTTTTTTAACTTCGAGAAAGAGAAAATAATAAGTGTGAGTTGTTTATTAACTTAAAACTGATTTAATAAATGATACAGCAAAGAAATCTGAGCCTTATATTCTAATAACTGTTAAATGAACATCAAAATAAAAAGAGATAATGATGGTTATTTATTTCATATTTTTATTCTGAACGCTTCTTTATCTAAGTTTTATAATAAAAAAACAAGTGTGAGTAAAAATAAATGAGAATATGATCTATTTTAGTATCAAATCCATCTTTTTTGTTTCAAGCGCATCATTTGTAGAATATCTTTTTTTCTTTCAAAATGAAATCAATATTGATTTTATCTCACACATATGTCGCTCCTCTTAGATTGTATAAAAATCAAAGATAAAAAATGATTATTTATTTTTAATATATGTTTGAAGAAAATAATTCTAATTAATTATTTGTTGATAGATTATATCTACACTCAATCCTTCAGTTTCTATTCTGTCAAATAAAAAATAACTTCGACATATAATCATTCAAGTCATAAAAGACAATGAAAACGTTATTCAAGTTTTCACTTAAATAAAATAAATAAAAAAATTATTAGTGTTACACGAAATATTACAGATTGAACTGAAACATTATTCATTCTATTCAACTATTACTCATATTATCTCCATTAGAAAATAAATCCTCTAAAAATCTCCGACGAGTTTCATAATGACATCCTGTGTCATGAAAATCATGTTTAATCATCGATTTCAGTAATCAGTTATACACTACAAATTTATTATTTAAGAATTTATAAATTGAAGAGTCAAATATAATCACAGACATTTGAAGCAAAAAAAAAAGATTAGTTTTGTCATGAATGTGACTACTATGACATGAATGATATTAGATAATTTCAAAAATGATCGTACTATAAGTCTCGTCGTCACAATCATTCGTTTCAAAACGTTTCTTTACGATAAGGTGTAGTTTATTTTAGATGATTCTGTATTAATTTATAACTCTATCTCTCACTTATGTTTTTTTCAAATTTATTTTTTTCTCACTATATTAAATTGCATATAGAATTCTTATTTATCTATTTTATTACATAATTTCTATGTATTAATTAATGTGAATAGTCAATTTTATAATAAAAACATTGATCCACTAATTAAATCAGTAATAAGATCTTCTAAATTTAAGAGTAAAATAAAAGTTCACGTGTAAATAATCTCATAGTTTACCGCTAAAAATGAAGAAGAAAATCATTGAAGTTTAATAACTGATTATGAGTACATGAAATAACTTTTTTATAACTAATATCAATTGTAACTGACGAAGAATGTTCTTATTACTCACATAAGATTAAAGATTTAGATTAAAAATCTCGTATTTTAATCTCAAATTTTTAAATTGGATTCTTAAAAAAACATCTCATATGTTAGATAAGTCAAGAGTAATAATTAGAAAAATTGAAATATATTTTCCTTAAATATAATATTGTACAATATATTAACAATAAAATGAAAAGTTTTTCATAAAACAATAGAAGAATTTTTCAATTTATACGTATATAGATTTAGAAAGAGATTTTTAATTAGGAATTGTTACTTGAAAATGTTTTCTTATTGTAAAATATCTATTCAGTTCATTTAACTTTCTTAGTATTATTATTTTATGTTAAAAGAAAAGAATAGAAATTGATTCTTTTTAATGAAAATCTTACCTAAAAACTATAGAAATCTTTGAAAATCGATGAAAAAAAAGAATATTTCCTTGAAAATAATCGATTATAACGAGTTTCGATAATAATAAAATATTTTTCTACAGAGAAATATTCAGCGTCTACTACATGTGTATTCATTTTCATATTCTTTATTTCGTCGTCGTCCAAAAAACGATATTTGGAACGAAATGTTTTTTTTTCTTCTGTTCTATATTAGTCATTATTTTTCTTATCCTTGATAAATCTATTCAGAAATAACTACATAAATATTTTCATATTTTCAGTATGGTTATCAATAGGAATTATGTTTAAATGGAAATATCAAAGAAGACCAATCGAAAAAGTTTTTTGTCTAAGATTTAATATTTTTATTTTACTTTTCTTCTATTTGAAAATATTCTTCGAACTTTTATCAAATATTCATGATCACTCTTATCATTGATTTATGCTCGTTCTATTTAGTTTTATATTGAAATATGGAAAAATCTGTCACAAATTAACAATTTTCTTTTAATATGAATGTCAAACAGACAATAAAGACAATATATACTCATCCTCAAGACGATTAACTAACAGTATTATATCAACAATTGTTCATTACCTCTTATCGAATAAATCAAACACTAAAAATCTTCATATCGAGTTTATAACATTAAAGTTCATGATGATAATGATAGATCAAATGTTTCTATTGATATCATCAATCATTACATGAACGTCATATTCAATTTCATCTATTTTCTTAAATAAACAAGAAAAAGATAGAAAATATTTCGATAAATCAAGTAAACGAATACTATTCTATGATTAAATAACGACGATCATTATTTCAAATATTTAGTTAAACGAATATTTGTTAAATTAATTTCCTTGAGTTCTATAGAAATTATTAAAAGAGAAGGCAAAAATGAAGAAGAGAAAAACAAACACATATAGATGATAGATATATCCTATTACTACACAGTGGATTTATATAAAAGAGTAGGTGAAGGTATAGCTCTGGATAGACATGCACTAACCTTAAATTCGAACCCAAGTGGGTTGGCAAGTTAGTTTTGAATTTAAGTTTAGATCCAGTAGTAAGATTAACGAAGTGTTTTGATTTCTATTCTTTTACTTTATCTCTTTCCTATACTAGTTGATCACATATGATTATATAAAACAAAGAAGTATCGGTCAGCGTTATTAGGATCGATGGTGGGTGTAGATGTGAACGGAAAAGAAGAAGAGACATACATCCACACCCACCCGCAAAATTATGAGAAAAAGTGAAAAATATCAACGAATATCTTTTTTTTTCTTTACTTTCGAGTATAAATAAATATTTCGATGCGATCGAAACAGAACGAAAAGAAAAGAAAAAAGAAAGAAGAAAAAAAAAAGAAAAGAAAATATAAAATATGATTACCTTCGAGTAAATTATTCGATTATTTTTCATTAATATTTGATGGTTGATCAGATGAAGTTATACGAAAAACAGTTTTATCCATAACTTGACCACTATTAGATCTTAATAATGCCTCTATTACTTGAAATGGTTCATAAGTAACTGTTGGTTCAACACCATGTAACTTACGTTGAAGAAATAAATTAATTGCTTCTTCAGGTATAATATGAATAAGAGATGATATATGATCAATAAATCCAGCGAAACCAGTCTACCATATATGATGATAATAATTCTTTTTCTCTATCTTCTTCAATTCATGCTAATTCAGAAAGAAAACGTGATTGTGGTTCACAAAGACGGAATGATTTTCGATCAGCATCTCGTTTAGGTATAACGGAAATTTGTTCTAATTTAGATTTCTCTTGTTTATTATTATTTTAGTAACATTTCATAATGCCATATTAAATGTTGAACTTGATTTTGATTTGTATGATTAAGACGAAGAACAACTTCACAAGTATCAGTTGAATATCTTGAATTAATTATATATTTTATTGAAGAATAAATAAATATCAATCTATTATTTGATGATATTTAAAGATAAATAAGTTTTAATCGATGTCATTCATATTCAGTTATGAAACTTTGTGCAAGACCAATAAATGGTGATGGAATTATATTAAGATTGGAATCATTATTAAATTGAGCATGATCTGTAAGAAAATATATAAATGGATGAAGATGTGGTGATGATTTTTGAATTGTTTGAATAATAAGTGATAATGGTCCACATATAAGTTCTTCATTTTGATTAAATGCTAAATCATCATTATTTTCATTCAATGATATTTGATCAAGTTGCCATACAAATATAATAGACACTTGTTTATAAGTATTTAATAGAATTGATATTGAAGAACAAATAATATATAACGCTGAATTTTCAATATCAAATACTTTCATTATTTTGATCATCTTCAGTAAATATTAACCATGTTTGATTTATTCGTTCATCAAGTCTTTGTAATATTTCATTCGATGTTGTTTTTTGAATAATAATTAATGTACTTTCATTTTGATTTAATGCTGATTCAATAATATTAAATTCTTGGATTTATTCTAGTATTGTTGTCCATTGTTGAATATTATTTAATGCATGATTATTACTATCAACATTATCAGATGACCACCATTTATTAAAAAAACCAAAAAATAAGATGAAAACAATGAGAAATATGAACTGATTCGAGTAATTAAAGATTCTTTTTTGTTAAATCTTGATTTCCTTGAAGTTGATTAGAAGAAAATGTAATATGAAATGATTCTATTAGTATTTTTTCAAGTGTTTTACTATCATATAAATCAATTATTTGATTAGTTATATGTGTATTAAATGTTTGTTGAGCATTTTCAAGTTGTATTGGATCAGAATCTGCATAATATAAATCAATTAATAAACCTGTTTGTTGTGATAAATTAAGAAAAAGATCAAGAATAGGTCAAACATCTGAACAACCACGATCAGTTAACCAAAATATACGTAGCCGATAATTCTCAAATGAATTATCTTTATTTTGTTGTTGTTCATATTGTAATTGTAAATATTGACAAATCGAATGAAAAGTTTGTTCAATTTCATCATCACCAAAAAATATATCTAATCCATTTTTTTCTCCATTAAGAATATCTTTTAAATGTAAACCATATTTATTTAATATGATTAAAAATGGTTCTAAACGAGGAAAACGTTCAATTAATTGAATAAGACGAAGATGTGTTGAATGCCATGTTACTTGTTCTGAATGTAAAGTTGAAGCTAGAGAATGACATGCATTTAATAATGGATGATGTTGTTGATTTAAATCAAGATCTTTAATTGCCATTTGAGCATAATAAGTAGCTAATTCATTAAATGATTCAATTAAATCTTGATTAATAATAGAATTCAGTTCATTATTAAGAATTTGATTAGGTGAAGTAAGTAAATGTAATATATCTTTTATTATTGGTGAATCTGTCCATACTCTTTTCATACAATAATCTTTTATAATTGTATTTAAATATGTCTTATGATCTTTGTTAGGTAAATCAGTTGTTAGATTTAATTTATCATAAATTATTTGTTCCATTGACCGTCGACCAGATTGTATACGTTAAATTTATTGAATAACAATACTTTCAAATGTAAATATTGGTTCTTCTATTTTATTATTCATTGAAAATATCCATAAATCAAGATTATATATTTCTTCTTGACCAATACCACATATATTATCATGATAATTTCCACGTACTCCATATTGATAAGCACTTGTTATATCTTGTGTTGTCCATCTGTCAGGTATTGTTAATGATTTTTGTTCTTTAAAATCAATTTCAATTTTACTTTGCGCATGCAAAGTAAATTGATTTAATGAATATTTATTAAGATTATCTTGATTACAAAATATAATATACCATTCACGCATTGACATAATTATTTGTATAAATACTTCAATTAATTCATGTTCATTAAGAACAAGTGCTTTAATAAAATTAATATCTTCAAAAATAATTGTTGGTTGTTGTTGTTGATCATCTTTTTTTGATGATAGTAATTGATGACAAGCAGCTGTTGCAAGTTTAAGATAAGTAACTGCTGGAAAAAGAATTGTATCTTGGATTTAATGATCTTTTAAGAAAGCATGTTGTGCTAAATTAATATTAATAAGATTTTTCCATGTTGCATTTGTTTGATCAACTAATTGACGAATATCAAGTAATGGATGAGTATGTATACGATTAGCTAAACGTTGTATAGATGAATCTTTTGATTCATACCAACTCCGACTAAGATAAAATTTATATAATGGAAAATCATCAACATATTCTTCATAATTTTTCATCGGTAAAATTTGACGAGTATGAAAATATTGTTAGCATACATGACATGATGTTGTAAGTTGTGCTAAACTAGTAAGTAATATTATTTGTTCATTTTCTTTTCGTTTTAATGTTAAAAGAATAAATGGTGATGATTGTTGTTGATTTGTTAATTCATAACATTCACGAATTGATTTTGCTAAAACTGGATGTGGTGAAATTTCAAGAAAAACATCTGCTGCTTCATCTTTTATAATTGTTGTTATAGCATCATAATATCTCACAGTCTGTCTCACATTTGACCACAAATATTGACCATCAACTGGTATATTATCATTCATTTGTTCACCAATAACACTTGAATAACATTTTGCTTTTGCACATATTGAATCAAAAACTTGTTTTTGATCTTGTATTGGAAATTCTTGAATATCTTTCAATGATGAAAGCATTTCTTTTTCAATATCAAATCGATTCATTTGATATGAATGAAATGCATTTTCAATACGAAGACGAGCTTTGAAAATATTGGGATGAAATGTTGAGAGAGTTTGTTGTAATTCATCGATAATCTTTTCATCTCCACTTAATGTGACAGAACGAGAACTGTTAACAACAGCAATACAAACAAAGTGTTCAATACCTTTGAGAATTTTATTTTGTACTTCTTCTTCACTCATTGAAACAGCTAACATTCGATCACCTTGTCGTGTATTACGATTTTGAAGACGTGATCGATGATAAACAATACGAACAGCTTCTTGTAATGTTAGACGACCAGCAACAAAAGCAGCTGCCTGGTCACCAGCACTATGTGACACGATTGTTGAAGGATAAATATTCCATGGGACAAGTAAAGCATCGGGTCCAACTTGAATAGCAAATAAAGCTGGTTGAGCAATATTTGTATCATTAGTACGAGATTCGTCTTCACTTATTTTGCCAATTAATTCTTCCAATAGATGCCATTGGCCATAGCTGATCTTTATCATTTCAGCATCGATTAATTGAATCCATCGAGTAAAAACAGGTTCACTTTCATATAATTATCGATCCATAGGGTGTGGGTGTGGCTTTATAAGTAGTTAATCACCCTCACATACACACTGCATGATTGCCAAGCCCAAATTTTAAAGATCAGTGGTATTTTCGTTGAAAAACAGGAGCTGATCAGGAGCCTTGTCTTACAAAATCACGAGAAAAGTCTGAAAACTTTCTCTCGAAACCAAAAAGAAAAGATGACAGTGTCATGTACTGTGTTTGCAAAAAAGCAAAGGTTTTCACCCTGAAATATGCATAATGCTGCTTTTTAATAAACGAGTAATGAAAAGGTCTGTCTGAGTGATCGAAACAAAGAAAAACAGAGAGATAGTCACATATAGTTCATTTTGGTAGTCTTTTCAAAGCTGTTTATTGAAAAATATAAACAAAACAGATACAAATGGGTTTTAAGAAGCTACCAAACAGTTGAAATAGAACAGAGTAAACCGTTTTCTATGTCTTTTTTCATATGATTGTTTTACGATTGTATTTATTTCTGAGTGAATTGGTTTAACAGTTCTTTAATATTTCAGAGATTTTTTATTTTAGTTTTGAACTCGATATCCATTAGGGTCATTTCTCATTCTATTCCTATTATCATATCATCAAAATTTTGTGTAAGTGAAGCTTGGCTCATAATCAGTCCCTCAAACTCATTATTATCTGCCTATATCCGCACTGAAACCAGATTGGTTGTAAAAAAACAAATTGGCTCGTCGAGGTGAACGTTTTACGGCTTGAAATTTTTCAAAAAGCTTTTTTTTCGATCCTGTGTCTGGCCATAAAAAACTAAGATACTGC